ATACACACCCAGCCCTCTGCTTGACTCCTTCACCCCCCCCACTGACCCCAGCCCTGACTCTGGCACCCCACACATACCCAGTCCCCCCTGCCCTGACACCTGCACCCCCCCTCACATGCCCCCAGCCCTCTGCCCTGACTCTTGCACCCCCCCACATACCTAGCCCCCCCACACCCCATACACCTCCCCACATCCTGACTCTTGCACCCCCCACATCTCCACCCCTACCCTGAGCACCAAATGGGAACTCCTGCACACACACACCCCATATTCCCACCTTCACCCCTCGCACCAAATGGGAGCTGCCCAGGTAAGTGCCCCACACCCTAACCTCCTGCCCCAACCCTGAGCCCTCTCCCTCATTTCAGCTCCTGGCCAGACCCTTCACTCCCAGCCCTGTGCTCAGTGCACTCCCACCCTCAGCTCAGTGCAGAAGGAGGAAGAGAATGGGACAGAATGAAGGAGAAGGTAGGTACCCACTGTATGTGGGCAGGGCCGGGACCCCAGACCGGCAACGGGCCAAGCAGGTCTGGCAGCCGGGATCCCGGCTGGCAGGAGCCGGCGGATGGAACCCCTGAGCAGCAGTGGGCTGAGCCGCTCAGCCTACTGCTGGTCTGGGGTCCTGGCCACCGGCCCCGCACAGCCCGCTGCTGGTCTGAGGTTCTGGCTGCCAGACTCTTGCCAGCCGGGGTCCCGGCCGCAGGCCCCGCTCAGCCCGCTGCCGGCCTAGGTGAACAGAACCCCAGACCAGCAGCGGGCTGAGTGGGCCAATGGCGTAAAATCAACATTTTAATTTAATTTTAAATTAAGCTTCTTAAACATTTTGAAAACCTTGTTTATTTTACAATACAACACTAGTTTAGTTATATAATATATAGACTTATAGAGAGAGACCTTCTAAAAAACATTAAAATGTATTACTGGCACGCGAAACCTTCAATTAAAGTGAATAAATGAAGACTCGGCACACCACTTCTGAAAGGTTGCCAACCCCATACTAGAGGAAAGGAGTGGGTTAGAGCCAGGGCCGTCCCTAACCATTTGGGTGCCCGCTGGGGGGCTGCATAGGGCCCCAGGCCTCCCCTGGCAGGGTCTGGGAGACAGAAGCTGTGGGGGCCACTTTTGGGGGGCCCACAGGCCCAGAGTGGCCCGGGGGATTAGTGGGGGGCTGGGAGCAGCCCACTCCGCATCCCTCACCCCGGCCCCAGCTGTGTCGCTCGGGGGAAGGGTCTTGGGGAAAGGGATCCCCCACCACTCACCGGCAGCGGCGGGAAGCAGAGCAGCCCGGCTCCACCCCTCTCTACTGCACCAGCTCCCAGCCATGGTGCTCTGATTCCCGCTGCCGGTGAGAGCCGGGGGCGGTCCTTTCCCCAACCCGAGCGACATGGCTGGGGCCGGGGTAAGGGAAGCGGGGTGGGCTGGGACCGCCTCTCTCTGCTTCCTGCCACCAGTGAGTGCGGGGAGTGATCCTTCCCCCAACCTCCGCATTCACCGGCAGTGGGAAGCAGAGTGCCGCGGCTGGGAGCTGGCAGAGTAGAGTGGGCTGGGGCTGGGTTGCTCCACTTCCTGCCGCTGCCAGTGAGTGCAGGGTCGCTGGGGGAAGAGGTGGAATGGGGATGGGCCGGGGGAGGTTAAGGAGGAAGGGCAGTTAAGGTGTTAGGGCTGCCCCCACTTGCCCTGAGGGAAGTGGCCAACACAGACTGCAGTTTGCCCCAGAGCAAGGGACTAGACTGGTGACTGCAGCAGGCCACCAAGGTGAGTGACTGGACTATAGACTGCCGGTTCCCCCAAAAGCGGGAGAGACAGTGGAGCGGGGCACAGCGAGCGAGACACCACCGGAGGAGGGCGCCCTGTGGAAGGACTTGAGCTAATTCCAGAACGGCCAGCAGGAGGTGCTGCAGTGGTGGGTCCCACACTGCTACAAAAGGCCATAGGCTGACAGGGTTACAATGATTTATTGTTGCAATCCTGCAGACTTTTATCAACAATTAACGTATAATTAAATTCTACGCACCAATGCCTTTTACGCAGTCCACCCCAGTCACGTTATCAGCTCCCATTGCAACGAAAGAGTCGAACACATTGTACAGCACCTAAAAAGAGAAGTAGCTTCTCTTAGCATTTGTTCCTGAATCAAGCCAATTCAAATCATCACATGTATGGGTCTGGTAAATCCTGAAATTTTGTTAGACTGAGGTAAAAAAAATCCATTTATTTTGAAGCAGCAAACTGTTTAGAGAATACATAATCAAATAGCAAGAGGCCAAAATATGATAAAAATGAAATCTGTAGAATATATCTATCTGAAAAACTGGCTGTTTTGTCTGCCAGTGTGTCCAAGGGTCTTCCATAGAGCCTATCACTGTAGCAGCAAAGTGATTGATGGAAGTTTTTTTAAAGAAGGCATGGATAGTAAAGAAAGATGAAGAAAAGTGAGAATCATGATAAATGGATTATAATTATAATTTTAGCACAGAGGGTGATTTGTGGGTTAAAAAAAATATTTTAGGTTTTCGGCATCCAAAAGGGAGTGGATAGGCAAAATAAAGCACCAAGAAATTAAAAGCAAAATAATTTGATTATCAAATCATCTCTTCGATATAGTGTTTATTTAATTAAAATGTACCCTAGAGCAAAGATGAGAATTCTACTTTGGTAAGCACCAAATGGGTCTCCGGGCAAAAATTAAACACCGTGCTTTGGAAATTGAGGATAATATTTGGGGAATTATTATTGCTACAGGAACAGGGCTAGTGAGGAGATGTTACAGAAATAACTTGAGTTAGCTAGGCTGTATTATAAGTCTCTTATTCCTCTACATTGTAGTCTTCAGAGATATTTACAGATATCCAACTGCTGACCACAGTATTGCAACCCCAAGTATTCAAAAATCACGAGATTTTTAAAAACAATGCATTTTAAGTTCTGTTTATATGCTTTTTGGTTTCTGGGGCTTTACAAAGCACTGGGGTGACATTTTAAAACTTTTCCCTGAAACCATGAGGTCGAGAAACATTTTAAAAAATGAAAGTTGAGATTCCTTTGGGAGTCTCTGGATTCCCAGAGCTGAGGCTTTAAGAAAAATACCCCACATTGCAAGACTTGCAATAAAATCAGAAGCGCTGGTAACACTGCAACTTTTGTCATCTGATAAATGAATGTCACTGAGAAACAACATTGTCAGTAATGACCGTGGAAGCAATCAGATAAATAGCGATGAAAGTTGGAAAGGCCAAGATGACATAAACAAAGAAGGTATGTGAGAGGTGTACATAGATTAAGAGCATATGCAAAATTGGACAAAATGAATACAAGCAGTTCAAAGAACTAGCAAAGGATATCCCAAAACTTCGGGAAATAAATTTAGTAAAACATGATAGTCATGATGACTAGAAATGGCAAATAAAGTATTTGTACCAGAAACCTCATTTTAAGAGTTATATTTATCCAACCAGAGAATAGGAACATACTATGCGACCTGCATGCCCTCTTTACATTCAGATAATTAATACTTGCAACAAAATGTCTGCAAACAAGGAAGACAAACTAGTAGAACTTGTGTGTGGTAGCTGACACATGAGCAGATAGCCACAGACAATACGCTACTTTATTCCATGGTGGATATATTAGTTCAGAATAAACCCTCCAGAATTGGGGTGATTCTTGGATACGAAATCCTCTTACCACAGTTACAGCATCGTTCAGCAGAGATTCTCCAAAAACGATAATAAACAGAACTTCATTGACATGAACTTCTTCAAACACAGCCAGTACAGCCACAGGGTCCACTGCAGCTATCAGGCTGCCAAACAGAAGGAAGTCCAGCAGCCCAATGTCAAGCTGGCCTAGGAAAACAAAACAAAAACTTACAGATATGTAAAACCACCAGCAAGATGAATCTCCTTATGGTCCTGAAGCAACCAGTCCCAAATTAGTAGCACACTCTTTACATTACAGGCCAAATTCTGCTCTCACTTACTTAGAATCAGTTCAAGGGAGTTACACCTATGTAATTAAGTGCAGAATTTGTCCTCAAAGCACATTTCTGGACTCCTTATTCAGACAAAACTCCCACTGAAGCAAAAGTGAATTTTGTGTGAGTAAGCAGCCCACGGTTGGGCACCCTCAAGAAAATTGATTATGGTATCAGACTAACTCAACATTTATTTCAGTATTTTTGTTCTCATCTAGGAGATTAACTTCATTTAGTTCTTCTATAAAAGCACTTTAATTTCATGCTGAACAAAGGTTCCAGATTGATAGCCCTGGAAGCAGATAGCCTCTGAGTGTATCCACAGTACAGGGAACAGTAATGCAAGCATCTCAAACGGGAAGGTCGGCAGAATATAGGAGATCCTTAGAAATTACAAATACATGCATTTTAAAATGAAATGTTTAAAAATAATTTCCTCCTTCACTTACTTGCCAAGCTGTGAGGCCACAGTTTTATTGATGATGTCACTAGCACTTCATCCATGCAGGGAGCCAAGTCATGTTTGATGACTCACTGTTTAAAAAGCCAAGTCGCCTGCTAGCCTAGAGAGGCTGGAAATGTTGCCCAGGCAGGTGGACTGACAAGCAATTGGTTCCTTCCCTGCAGAGCAAGGAAGACCAAAGGAGCAGAGCAACCCTGGTCCTTCATAGGAGGTAAGGAGCTGGCCAAGAAGCAGAGGAGCCCCCTGAAGTGCTCCTCTTTCTCAAGAGGGGAGGGAGAGGCAGAGTGTGGAGTGGCAGAGCCAACTGCTCTTTGCAGATGGCAGGAGAGGAGCAGGAAAAAAGTGTGGCACACGCACTTTTCCTTAAAGAGGAAGGGAGAGGCGCAGAGAAGCTGACATTCCTACTAAGGGTCTCCTGGCACATCCCAGAACCCTGCAGCTCCAGAGAAGATGTACAAACGGGTATGGAGTCCCATTCATTTATCTGGGGCTCAGAATTCATTAATGGGCAGAGGAAGGCACCTGAATTAATTAATGGGAGTCGGGCAGGGGGCAGTATTTATTAACTACAGGGAGTTCAAACTTTCGTGAAGGATGGGGGAAGTAGGGCAGAGCCCAGAATCCATTTATCGAAAGGGATGGTGGAGAGCCCCATTTTATTAATTGGTGTATGTGTGCACCAGAAGTTATTTGTTTGGGTGAGGGGGACAGAACTGACGTACTGATTTGGGAGTAATAGTTTGGTAATGAACATTGAAGAGCTGTGGCCTTGGTGTGGCATTGTTTGTAGAATGGCAGTATGGGCACACTTCCCCCAGGCTCATAGGCTCTCTCCTTCTGGTGAGTATGTGTGGAGGTAACTTTTCAAGTCCAGAGTACTTAGGGATTGGCAGGTAAGTGAACAAGGAACTGACTTTCAAATGTTTGTTTAAAATGCATGGAGCTATTCACCCAGGAGGAGGATCCAAAATTGGAGGCTGGGTAGAGGATCAGACACAACCCACCCCCATCTGGCAGCAGCAAATAAGATGGGAGAGGAATAGACACCATCTCTCCGTCCCATCACCAACAAGCAGGATAATATCATTTTCTGTAAAGCTGACAAGGATTACAGGAACAGAGACATTCCTGGTTTTCAGAACCACATAGCTACTCTATTTATTTATAAAACGGAGACAGTCATCTTCATTCACATTTATATAGAGTGGCGGTGAGCAAGGGCGGGGGGCAGGTCACAGTCAGGTGGGGGGGGAGGGGGCTTGAGTGATTGGGAAGCAGGGTGGCATCAGTGGCAAAATATTTTCAGGCCTGGCAGAAAATTCTGAAGCTGGCCCTGCACCTGACTCCAAATAAAGATTCCGTAACATTCTTACCCTCCTTGCTGTGTTTAAGGAAGAGATAGTTCAATGGCAATAACTATGGATATCATGACACTGTAAGACAAATGCCTTTAAAATGAATTGGCTCACCTACATCTCTTATCTGTTTTATATGTTACCAATTATGATTGCTGCTACATTCTTTAAGAACTTCCAAAAGCTAGTGAGCAAATACTGATGGGAAGGTTAGGGTACATCTATAAATATTACAAAATAGTGTCAAGAGAGGTGGGATTGCTAAACCTGAGTTTTACTTAGGCTATTAAACCTACCACCCATACCCTCTAATGCAATGCGCTGCCCCTAAAAAATTATAGAACAATTTTCACTCTGGAAGTCACCTGGAAACTAAGACCTTGTCTACATTGCTAAACTTCATAACTGGAATTCATTAAGTGGGAATTCACTGTCCGTGTAGTTCCACCAGTAATAGCAACAGTGTGAGTGCTAGTTTTATGATTGGGGGGGGGAAACAGTCAGCATGACTTGGGATTGGTTTTCCTTTTTTCCCTTGTGAATGTGGAAGGGTGACAGTGAGCACTAGTTTAACATTTAAGTTATGTTTCTTCCAAATATACTTTTAAAGTAGCATTTCCTTTTCATTATTATTATTATTTTGCTCTTCTTGCCTGTTCTATACTTTTCTTCTGCAAATTGTACAAGTTCTAACTAAGGACACTGAATATCATATTTAACAGATATTTCCACTCATTTAAATTGAAATCTATGTAATCCAGTTTAGGTGAACTGCTCTCAGAGTGGGGAATAGATCAGAGTTAATCAATTACTAGTTCCATCTGTCAATGGAGTTGGAAGAAACATATAATCTGTTTGTTGCTTTCATCACAACTGTGTCTTCAATGATATACATCCATACATTCAGTGATATTAAACTTTCATCTTTGTTCGCCTGAATAATAAAATTTGAATTAAAAACAAACAAAATAACAATCCCGCAATACTCCCAGGCACCTACTCTCCAGAGGATGACATGAAAGGTAAAATCCCCAAACTGGCTCCAAGAACTAAGAAGAATCCCAGTACCCTTCTTCCCCCAGCAGCCAGAGTGGGAGAGTTGGGTTTCTCTGTAGGTACTGTACCCAGACTTCTCTCCCTTCTTATATATCAGCATGTGGCTATTAGATTTAATCCTTTGGTTAGCTGGTATCATGTAAGCTTTTCAAGTCCTACTTATCTCTGTTTGCAAGTGACATAGTTTGAATCAGGGACAAGCTTCTCTGGCCTTTTCCATAAATGCGATTAGAGCTGAAAAAGGATCTAATAGGTCATAATACATCATCCTGTCAGCTAAATATGGTACATACAGTGTATTATCTAGTTCTTTGTGCAGTCTCCTTTTAAATGTTTTAAGCAATCAGGCTCATCCATTTACAGATGACTGTGATGCATATGCTATTGCAGGCTGTAGGAGTGTCAAACCTATTCAACAGAAGGAGTGAGTCCCATTTTTAACTGTGATTTAAGGGTTGTGGAATACATTTATGACTATACAACCTACCCTCAGTCCACAGTGGAATTCCCATTGCTGTCAATGAGAGTTTGCACAAAGATAAAGGGGAAAATATGGCCTTTATATTGTAACTCGATTTTAGTTATTGAAGCTAGTTAAAATTTTGGAACATATTTGGGGGGAGGGGGTTGGGAGGAAGGATGCCGAAAATGGCCTTTTATTTAAAACAAACTTTTGTCTTAAGTATTTTCTTTTCCCCAAAATTTTCCATATTTTTAATTGCATTTGCTGAACATTTATCCACATTTTTCATTAACAAAGTCATTTTTATAACATTTTCAAAACAAATTTTGATTAAAAATGTCAGGACTCTTTTTATTTAACTGGTCTGTTACAAGCCCTGCAAAATGGAAATAATTTTGACATTTCAAAATATTTAATGATTTGTAAAAAATTACTTGTTCTAGTTATCAATCGTATTTTTTATTTAGTCATCATCTTATTGTCCCATTCAGCATCACTCATTGGGAAAATATTCTGATAAGTAAGACTACAACCATTTCTGCACGTTTTTTCACTTCCTTACCCATCCTTCTTTTGCTTCCCCCCCCACACACACTTTCTTTGGGTGTCTCTTCTGTTCTTCACTCTGCATTTCCTTCCCTGCAGCAGCTCCCCATTCCCATCTTGGTGTGGACTTAAATCCCAACCCCTTCACCATCCCAGTACCTACAATGAGCACCAATTAAAAATTAATTATGACATTTAAAGTATCATCATTACGCTTTATAGATAGTTACACCTCATTGAGAGTAATAGAGGGCAACAGGGTAGTTCACAGCTCTTGAGTCATTGTTTCAAACTCAGAAAGACAACCCTGCCTGGGTGATGCTCTGATCTCATTGGAATCAAGCACAATCACGAGGGTTTAGAAGCTTTCTTGAAAAAGAGAAAAATAAGCGATGATTCTTTAGCATGTGAACATAGGCCATACAAGACACATAAATATATTAAGTGGGCCAGATCTGACCTATGGGCCAGAGGTCTGACAACACTGCTTGATATATATTCTATTTGTAGGCCTCCAGCCACTAAAGAGTAATCCTATCACAAATAATTACAGGACTGGATCAAGTCACATTCTATCCAGTACAGGTATAAGGTATCTCACATGCTAGCCAGTATGTTACAGCCACCCCCACAGCTATCTTCATGTGCAAAAATAAACCAATTTTGTTTACATGGGAGTGTAAGTCTACTGCAAAACAAGGTAAGGCAATCTCATCCATTTAACTTCACAATAATGCCTTTTTTTAAGCAGCAGCATTAAACCTTAGCACAAACACCCAGAACAATACTAGGCAAGTGAGAAATGGTCATCAGGCTTACAAATCCTAGCAACATGGCTGCCTAGCTTTACTGTAACCTCAGAAGCCAGTGTAAGCCTGTCAGAGTGCTAATCCAAGTTTTCAATAAATACATGGAACCAGATCCTTAGAGGCAACAAATTCCTTCCTTCCAGCTCTCCTTTGCAAGGAACATCTTTTTCTCAGAGGTTGCCAGATCACCATACAGACAATGGAAGTTTTCTTGTGTTCATTTGCCCTCTGCTTATCTCTGCTTCACAAAGTTAAGGCACTGAGGTGAGCAAAAGTACATTCTTCCAAACAATCAAAACTATGAACCTGTTCTTACAGAAGGACTTTCTTGCTGCAGAAAGCTATCACTTTTGGCACTCAGACACCATAGTGATAAGCACTAGAGACACACTAGATTAAATAAAATACAGAGAAATTAGACAAAACAGATCCTGACCAACTTTAAAAGCCTTGAAAGGTACACAGATTTCACATTTGATTAAAAATGGTAAGGCAAATTATATCTGAGCCAAATTAAAAAAACAACTCAAAATCTCAACCCAAAAGATTCAATCAATTGTGCCTATAAACTTAAAAAAAATGTAAACATCTAGCTACATAATTTGTGGTCCTACTCTGTTAGACCTCTAGGTACGATTTTCAAAGCAATGCAGGGAATGAAGCCACATGTTTTCCATTAAATTTAATGGAAAATAAGTAGCTAAATCCCAGGCACTACTTTAAAAATCAGACTCCAAAAATTACTGTTATTTCACCTGTAATGGATGGTGGGAGCAACCTTTGAGGCTATTTCTGACCCTTTATGTTTAATCATGGTCTGTTCCTTCATGGCAGATTTTTCCCTCTCTAGAATTCACTTTAGAAGTTATTTAGTGGAGTAACAATATTGGGTCAGATTGCCTCTGTTTGCTCCTCTATGGGTGCATTTGGAAACCACCCGCACTACCCCTTTTGCACCTGAGCAGAAGGCTTCCAGAATCATGGTGCTTGAGTTCCATGAGTAATAGGTACTAGAAAGTCATAGTACAGGTAGATGTGCTACACACCCTGGAAGAGACATATCTGAACAGCAGTGCAGCCACGACTCCATTCCCCCTTGTGGTCTTCTGATTTGCTGGCGTTGAGTTGCTAGTGGTCCAAACCTGGTGCTACTACTACATCTCCCCCAAAAGATGTAACAGCTGTTGCTATGTATGCTTCTCATATCACCTCAGAGACATTACGCATTCATCAGTACTACATAGGCAGAATGCCTTCGTATTACAGGTCTTCAATCTTACTCTAGCACGGTGGTTTTTAGCTTTAAATGTTGAAACAATGACCTATTATATAAATACACTTAGAGGGCCCTTGCTTAATTAATACTAGTGCTGAGTGGAGGACAATTCTGTTTCGCAGCAACTTTTGAGATTCGTTCTGCACTGGAACAAAAAAAACCTCTTTTGGAATATTTCTGTTAACATAGAATTGTGTCAAAACGTGTGTTTTTTGGCTTGAAACTCGAGCTTTTCAGGTGTGTAGGTAAGTAGGGTGGTGTGTGTCTCCTGCAAGGTTGGAGAATCAGGTTCAAGTCCCTGCTCTGTCCACTCTGAAGTTTCATTTACCTGAAAATGTTCCAACCAGCTCTAGTTAATACTTGGTGTTTTTCTGTGGGAAAGAGTTATCTGTAATGCAACACTAATGTACCAGCCAGTACCCATTTTAATTAGCAATGACTCTTGAGAATCAGACTTACCCATTATTCCACTCAGGTAAACACCATAGAGAGACATGCCTGTTGTGGCAGCATTCCATACAGTCCCGATTACAGCATACAGAAGGATGGTACCAAGATTTCCAAAAAACAATTTGTTTGGCATGAAGTATCCAGCATCTAAGACAATGGGTGGCAACAGGTAGAAGAAAAATACATTTGGTGTAAGGGTGAAGGAGGCAATGTGGTCTGCAGCCCACACGATACCGCCCAGAAAGAGGCCAAGGACAATCAGCAGAGCGCTCTCTGGAACCACGCGGGTGACTTTGTGGGACAAGTGGAAAACTGCAAAGAAAGAGAAAAAATGTGAAAGAATCAAAATGCAAACATAATTTGGTTGATATTACAGCTGTTGTTAGTAGGGCTGGTTCTAGATAAGAAAGTGTTAGATAAGAAAGGAACTGAGAGGAGAGGAGAATGAGACCAGATCTCTGAGCTAGGATGGAACAAGATAAATGGGAGATACTAGAGATGTTTGGCAATGAAGTACTGTTAAGGGAATCTCAGCAATTCATTTTTGCAGGAGTTAATGTGAACCTTTGCTTCAGTTTGGCTTAACAGTGGATGTGCACCCCTGACTCACGGACTACTTGTGATCCTAACCCATGCTGAGTATAGCTGAGCTCATATATAGTTTTGCACTGAAAGACTGAATTTCACTTTCATCTGAAACTCAATCAAAACCACTGAGTTTCTCGTGATGTTAATATCAACCTATAACTCTGCTCAACTAGCACACAACTGGGCCCAAGATTGCTGAAAATTAGTCCAGAAAACAAACAGTCAGGACTCCATGTTTTAAGATGTATTGAAAAATCTTCCCTCATCACCTTGCAGAGGTACACAATGATTAGTGACATGATTGTAACAATGATAGCAGCCAGCCTATACCAGTGCTCCCACCATGGCTAACACCAGTGTAGATGCACTCGCACTAGTATAGGGTTACCATATTTTAATACTCCAAAAAGAGGACACTCCACAGGGCCCTGGCCCCGCCCCAACTCCACCCCTTCCCCAAAGTCCCTGTCCCAACTCCGCCCCTCCCCTAAACGCTCCACCCCCCTGCTCCTCCCCCTCCCCTGCTTCCTGCGAATCAAATGTTCACGGGAAGCCTGAAACAGGCAGGCAGGCAGGCAGCAGGTAAGCTGGGGTGGTGGTGGTGGGTGGCGGTTTCTTGACCCTGGCCAAGAGGCTCTGGCCCCGGCGTCTCCGGCGCGGCGCGGCTCGGGCCCTGGGGCGCCGGCCCGGCCGAGCAGCTCCGGCCCGCCCCAGCCCCGGCGGCTCCGGCCCGGCCCTAGTGACTCCAGCTTGGCTCGGGCCCTGGGGCACCGGCCCCGGCCCCGGCCCTGGCCGAGCAGCGCCGGCCAGTGGCTGAGCATCCCCAGCCCCGTCCCAGCGGCTCCAGCCTGGCTCGGCTCGGTCCCCGGTTCTGGTCGAGCGGCTCCGACCCAGCCCCGGCCCTGGCCAAGCAGCGCCGGCCAGCGGCAAGCACCGCTGGTCCCAGCGGCTCCGGCCCCAGCGGCTCCAGCCCGGACCCAAGCCCCACGACCCCTCCCTATTTTCCCGGACATATCCGGCTTTTTGGAATTTCCTCCTGGATGGGGATTTGAGGACCAAAAATCCGGACATGTCTGGGAAAATCCGGACGTATGGTAACCCTATACTAGTGTAACAAAAGTTTCCAGGGTAGACCTGTGAAATAGACCAAGTTGTAACATTTTGCTTCTGGCTGTGTGAATGACCCCAAACCAGGTTAAAACTGGATTAAGGTGACAACACTGGGAGGAGGAGGCAAACTGCGTTTAATAAACATTTTGAAACACAGTCAGTTTTGAGGAGCATCTGGGCCATTAATTCTACAGCTGGAAAGTACCTTCCACAACCTGAGTAATCCAATAAAGAAAACCAGTGTCCCTCCCAGTTAGCATCTTCTCTTTGTTATGAAGGCTGCACTGCCTCAGATTGTTTTGGGTCCCTGAAAACCATTGTTCTGTTTACAAACCATGGCATTCAGGTTTTCAAAGGGTTTTTTTTTTTTGGTGGTCATTCCCTCCATTCCTTGCATCTCCAGTCAGTAAATTATCAACCAATTTATCACATTAAGGAGAAAGGATTACAGTCTTTATCCCTGAAAATGAATTTTGCTGAGCCAGACTTACTTGTGTCAGGATTCCCTTTTGCTATGTTTTCAGACAGAGACACGACTGAGAAATGCCCGGAATTAAAAGTATGGAACAAGAATTTTGAAGACGTCTGAAAACCAGATATTGTGAAGTAGCCACTGGACTTCATGCTAAATCCTCACTATGCTATAGAATTCTAACAGGTATAATTAAGGAACAGTTTCCCCCCAATGAACAGAATGTTTTGTATCAGCTGAAACTTTCCTTTGCCTGTGGAAAGGTTTATCTCCAATTGCGCGCAGTTTTTGCTATGAACATTGACCCCCCTCTAAACGTGCGTCCTGGTGGCACATTGCTGCAGTGCCCCATGAGCACAGCAGTGAAAGAATCGGGCTCACGGAGCCATATTTCCCTCCAGGCTCTTAAAATAGTGATTAACTACTAGCCTATACCAGACCTGATTAGATGATTAGAGAAACAGAGTTGTCCTCATGCCTCACGTCACCCTCTAAAGTTTAATCAAGAAATGTCATACCATTTTAATAGCTCGCTATCCTGAAATATGTCCCCCTAACAATGCATCTGGATCTATTGCAACTTGAATTAATGGGAATACACTCATTTCATAGGGCCAGTCTGACAGCTTTACTCACACTGAGTAGCATCTTACCCCAGAAGTAGTCCACTGAAGCCAATGGGAACACTCACTGAATCAGGTGCTATTCACCATGAGTAAAGGTATGAGAATCTAGCTCTTAAACTGAATTAGAGATCCATGTGCTCTGACAACTAGCTTTTGTAAGCTGCAGCTCCTGTCTTTCATTCACCTATGTGATGAACTCCCAGCCAACAATTCTGGACAATAGTTTGCATTTGAATCTACAGGTAGGATGGAATTACAGCAGTTCTGCAGGTGCCAAGGAGGATGGGGTGCAGTTCCCCACAGACAAATAACTCTGTAAAGAATTAATAGTGAAATTTCTGCTTATTCTAATGGTGCACCTGTTGTAGCTATTCTGTAAACAGGTGGCTGGGGATAGCTAGGTAGCAGAGTAGGTTATTTTTTTCACCTCTGCACTCCTGGGTATAAATCTGAATTAGCCTGGTGATTTCAGTACATGGCCACTAGTATTTTTGCCAGTCCAAGACTTTTCAGAGAAGGTTGGACAACATGGTGGTAAAAAGGACAGCAGCCAGCTTATCCCAATACCCCCAGCACTTCTGTCTCTGTCCATGAATTGTGTTAACACCATTATTTCACCATATTCTGGTCTGCTGTGGAGGTTCTCACTCCCTATGTATTCTTGAACCAAAAAATGACCTGCCATCCACATGTACCACAATCCTTTGCAGCAGCCGAGAATTGTGGGATTTGGGTCAAAGGAGAAGCAATGGGTTGGTGTTGAGGGGGATTTCTGCCAGAGGCACTTCCCTCCTTCCTCTTATTTCTCCATCCTCCACCCACACCATGTTCAGCTCCACTTTGAGAGGCTGTGAAGCACAACCTGCTTACGTTGTTGCATGTATGTTATCCCAGGGCAGTGTCACGTTGTGTTAGAATGCGGTTTTGTTTTGTCTGATAATAATCATGTCTTGGATTATAACCTAGGATAGACCAGGCCTAAGTCTTCAGTACACAGAAACCCTTCACACACAATTCAGTTCACACACAAAGCAAACGCTGCAATCACTCAGCAGTAGCTCAACAATTGTGTTCAAGTATTGTGATGGATCGACAGATCTCTGTAGGTTAACTTGTGCTTAGTGTTAACCTCTGTGTTCTGTCACTTTCATGGACACTGTAACTCCGGCCTTGTCTACACTTGGAAAGGTTTGCCAGTAAGCTATACTGGTATAGCTTATACAATTTCCCCAAATAGAATAAGGTACACCAGCAAAAATACTTTTACAGATATTACTGTCTACACTAAGGCTTTTGCCAGAATCACTAAATTGGTTGGGGGAGGAGGGTTTCACACTCCTAGCTGACAGCTATGCTAACAAAACTTGTTAAAGTAAACCAGGCCTCAGTCACCCAAAACTGATGAAAAGTTACTTTTATAGTACACCTCTACCCCAATATAACGCTGTTCTTGGGAATAAAAAAATCTTACCACGTTATAGGTGAAACCACGTTATATTGAACTTGCTTTGAACCACCGGAGTGCGCAGCCCCGCCCCCCCGGAGCACTGCTTTACCGCGTTATATCCGAATTTGTGTTATATCAGGTTGCGTTATATCAGGGTAGAGGTGTATCTTCACATTTTAATATTAACACAAATTATAATCTTCTGTACAGATAATGTTGTATAAAGACTGCTTAAAACAAGTCCTAGTTTCCAGTATACTGTACAAATTGGAAAGGTCTCTCTCTGATGAAAGAAACAAAAATAGTAAATACTAGTTAGCAAATATTCCAAATGTTGCATGGATCTTTAGCCATGAGATTCACAATAAAGCTAATATCCTATGCACATCTTTGCACGTATACCCTTATGATTTTTAGAGAAGAATGAATAGCAACTCTTTAATCTTAGTAAGAAATTAGAAAAATAAATTACATGTAAAGTCACTGGCAGAATATCATAAATGAAACAAATTGTTTTGAAGTACCGCTTTAAATGCTAGCAGTGACCTATGATTTTGTGGAAAACCGATTTGTGTAACCTGGCTTTAGCAAGCTACAGTGCCTCACTGCTTTATCTATTTCTGTTCTCTGTCTTATAGCAATTGCAGAACTGTGTCAGGTTTGATTCTCTTTCTTCCCTCTCAAAGCATTGATCATTCTTAGGCCTTCTCTACATCGTAACTTCTGCCACACTGGGGAACCCAGGCCTGATCTAACTTTAAAATTAAGTTGACATAGATACAGCACTCAGGGGTGTGAAAAATCCACCTCTCTGAGTGCCACAGTTAAGCCAACCTAGTCCCTGCTGTAATTCTGCTAGGTCGACAGAAGAATTCTTCCATCAACCTAGCTGCTGCTGCTCAGGAAAGTAGACTACCTACATCAATGGAAATAACCCCTTTCATCACTGTGCATTCTACACTATGGCACTACAGCAGCAAAGCGGCAGTGCCACTGTAGCAACCATAATGTAAAAATGCCCCCAGTTCCACTATGATAGTGCCCTCTACATGGTGAAACTTGGCACTGA